CCCCCCCCGAAAATGCCAAGTCAGGCAAAAAGCTGTTTTTCCACAAGAAACTGTTTCTAAATCTTCCTGTGATCTTGTTATAACAGCCAAATTGAACTGTAGTCTTGACACCTATAAACTGCTCAGGCTTGTTGGTGAGAGGCAGGATGTTTGGTATGAAAAAGAAAAAAAAAAAAATCCAGATATATTTTAAATCTCACTAGACACTAAGTCTAGTCTTTCAAATTGCCCTCACTAAGATACTTAATGGAACATCATCTGGTTGCAATGAATTTCTAATTTCCATTTTTAATGAATAAAATTTATATAAAGTGCTTACTAAATGTTTTTTAAAAATTATATTTTACTACTTTGTTATTCCTCCAAAGTGAAAGGTGTAAAAGATTATGGAAAAGCACACAAAAATAGAATATATCATGGAAGAGGGTAAAAATAAAATTATTTTATGAGGTTATTATATTTATTGGTGTCCCTCCAGAAGAAAGGAATTATTCTACGACATTCTGGCTTCCACCATCTTTCACTCTGGAGACAAAAAGCAACACAAGGTAATACAGTAAATACTAAAAGTTAGTTATTAAAATGCAGATGGCTAAATGTTTTACTGAGATCTTCTGTAGATGGATCAAACTCCATCTAAAATCACTTCCAAAGCTGCCTTACAGCCTTTCCTCAGCTGGGAATAAGCAGGCTGTTGGCAGGTAGAGCCTTGTAAGAATTTAAACAGCTCTTAGACAGAAACAATCAAGAAATAGCCTTTCCTATCACAGAAAACGTGTTGGTGAGAACCGTAAAATCTTTTGGCAGGGTCACTCCTTCCAAACCCCTGCACAAAGAAACATAACCAAATTTTAATCATGGTCTCTAGCAGCCTGAGGTGGAATCCCTGGGATGACCTAGTCCCTTCCGAACTTGTCAGGATAAGCTCCGGGCTGTCAAAACAAATTTACTGTTTGTTCCAGCCAACACCCGAGGATAGGCTCCTGATCTCTTTTTTATTTTTTAGCTTTATTTTTATTGTTGACACTATTACAGATGACTTCAAAGTGCTCCTGATCTCTGTAGCAGTACTTGCTAAACATGGCTCTCCACTGTGACTTCTTCCTCTGGCCCTGGAAGATGGGTGTGTATGTCCTACAGTTCAGGGTTGTCTTTCTCAAGGACCTGATAGTCACTCCTCTGAAATGCAGTCATCAGGAAATACAGGCCTCAGCCCCCCAGTCCCGGTGGGAGGAAAGAATCCTGATTTCCTAATGTAGCCAGCAAACAGACACAGCTAACTGCATTCACACTAACCAGCCCTTTGCAATTTTTCACTTCCCTGAGTCGACTTGGACCCCACCTCTCCCTCATTTCGTCATTTTCCCTTTAAAACGCCCAGTCCCGTCTGCGCAAACCGAACGGAGCTCAGCTCTTTTCCCTACTGCCGGTAGCTCCAGATGTTTTCACCGCTGGGATGTCTGCCTTTGTCTTATTTGACATTGGTGGGTTCACAGTAAGAGTCGGATCCCCATCAACACAGGCCTGTAAATCTTAGAAGCCTGTTTATCCTCAAAAAGCCAAGGGGAGCTCTCCAAAGTGATCCCTCAGAAACGTCCCCCCTCCCCTCCCCCCAGCGCCCTTGTAACTTTAAGCTCCTAGGTTACTTCCTACTCCGCTTCTCCCTAATTACGGTAACGTTTTTATTTCCCAGGGTGTCGAATTTCACCCAGCGGAGGTCTGCCCCCTTCCAGGTCCCCGGACCTCCATCTCCGCCTCTGTCCCCTCAACCTTGGGCCTCCTCCTCCACGCCCTTCCTCCCTGACGCTGCGGGCCCGCGGGCCTCCTCCTGGCCGCCTCTCTCTCGCTCACACCTCGGCCTCCTCCGCCGACCGAGGCGCCCTTTCCCTCCACACGCCACTCGGGGGGCCCTGGCGCCCCTCTCCCGGCGGCGGGCGGCGGGGAGAGCCGAGCTGGGTCGGCCATTTTGCACACTCCGGGCGCGCAGGGCCGGCTGGGCGCAGGGCCTTCACTGGGCCGCGGACTTGAGGGGCTGAAGGCGGGGCCGCCCCCGCCGCCGGGGCGGGAACTCACCTTCTTTGAGGCAGGGGCGGGCGTCTACAACTACTGTCCCCC